GCATCACGGTTGCACAGGGCTTCAGCTTTTGACTGGCACCAAGTTGGAGGTGGGAGAGGTGGTTGGTGAACTCGAGGAAAGGATGTTGTGGTCATCGCCGTCTTGTCCCCGTTTTCCTTTAGGATTTTGACCTGTTGGTCATTTCCATAGCGGATGAGAACGACAACCGCCCCCTCTTCACCCAGAGAGCCTACCAGGCCGAGGTGATGGAGAACTCACCCCCGGGTAGGTCTCTCTTCAATCCCTCACATGGCTCCTGGAGACTCCCTTTGGGGCCGGGCGAGGGGAGGTGTGTCCTGGCCGTCGTGGAGGAGACATGATGCTGAGCCAGGGAGAGGCTGCAGGTCAGTGGGACAGGGATGCTGAGTAGGAGGGGCTCCTGCCAATCGCCTGGGGAGGTCAGCCACGAGAGGACCATGGCTTTGGTCCAGGCTGCTGGTGGAAACCCTTGCTGGCACAGGTCAGACACAACCATGTGAGGAGTCAGGCCTGTGTGGGAATTGCTCAGCCGCAGGCAGCAAGATGTGCCCCTGGTCTGAGCTGAGCCCTGGGGGCAGCTGTTGCCTCAAGGACCCCAACCCGCTCGACATCCCTGCAGGGGACGGGACAGGGTACCATCTCTCCATCACCAGCACCTGGAGCCGCCTTGCTCTGGGGGTTAGAGATAAAATAGTCCAGCCTGTCCAAGTAGACATTTCCCAGCCAAAGAGCTAGAAATACTCCTTTCTTTTTTTTGTTGTTGCTGGTTTTTTTTTTTTTGTTTGCCTTCCTGCCATTTGAATCGCTCCGTGCTCCAAGACCTCGGGTATTTCCCTGTCCCACCACCAAGGGACATCTAAGGCAAAGGGTTTGGGTGCCTCCAGATGATGCCCTCGGCACCCTGCTGGTGCCACCCATCTGATGGCTGTGTCTGTTTGTTTTTAGCTGGACGTCCCATCGCCTCGCCTGGGCTCACGAGTCGGTCTGCAAGGCTGCAGCAGCCACCCCCCGCTGCCTCGTGCCCCGCGAGGCCCTGCTCTGTCACCTCCTCCATCCATTCATTGCCGTCCCTCATGTGTCACTGGGGCGGGAGGGGGACAGGGGGGCTCCGCAAGGGGCTGCCACCCTCCCTAACCCTTGTCATCTCATCCAGGGACTCTGGTCACGGTGCTCAATGGACCCATCCTAGCTCTGGACGGCGACCAGGGCAGCAATGCTGTGGTGACCTACCAGCTCCTGGAGGCATCCCTGGACCTCTTTGTTATTGATAACAGGACAGGTGGGATAGCTCAGCAGGTCCCTAGCCCCAGCCCAAGGCCACCAGGAAGCTGTGGGATCTGTCACTGGGCTTTTCCCCTTCTCCAGGTGTCGTTTCAGTGAAGCCCGGCAGCTTGATAGACCGAGAGGCTTTGCTGGACCCTCACTTGGAGTTCACGCTGGTGGCTTGTGACGTGGGGGGGCTGAACAGCACTTCCAGCCTGGCGGTGACCATCCTAGATGACAATGACAACCGCCCTGTCTTCCAGCCGGCATCTGTCATGGCATGGCTGCGGGAAAACAGCCCCCCAGGTCAGGAGGGGGACGGGACTGGATCTGAGGGTGGGCAACGGGAAGACCTGGATGTCCCCCTGGGACTGTGAAGATCCAGCTCCCAGTGTCAGGGCTGCTCAGGATGGGGTTGAAAGGAAAATTTGGGAACTGGGGCTGTCCACGTCGCTTGACGGTATTTGCCTTGGGACCGGGGGCCTGCTGCTGCTGCTCTTCAATCCTCACTTGAGAGGGCTGTGTCCCCCCTTTCCAGGCTTCTCCATCCTCCAGGTGACAGCCACAGATGCTGACAGCGGCCTCAACCAGCAGCTGGATTACCGGATCGAGGGCGGGGGGCCGGACAGGCTCGATCGCCGCCGCCACGGGAGTGATACGCGTGGCCAATATCAGCATCGACCGGGAGGAGCGGGATGCCTACCGGCTGATGGTGGTGGCCGTGGACCAGGGCACGCCAGCGCTCTCAAGCACCGCCACCGTCAACCTCTTCATTGACGACGTCAACGACTGCCGGCCCGAGTTCATCAACCCCATCCAGACAGTCAGCGTCCCCGAGTCAGCCGCCCCTGGCACCATGGTGGCCGAGGTGACTGCCATCGACCGGGACCTCCACCCCCGCCTGGAGTACTACCTGCTGGAGATCGTGGCCCGCGATGACATGGACGCACTGGTGCCCGACCAGCAAGGAGCATTCACCGTGGATTTTAGGACAGGTAGGAGAGCGGGAAGGGCTGTGCGGGCGACGCGGACCCCTCTACTCTCTCCTGCTTCTTCTTCTTCTCTGCCTGGAGGTAGGTGTCCAAGGCACAGGGAGGTGGTGCTCCCCTCCTGCCTCCCCACTATCCTCCTCCAGCTGCCCCGTTTCACCCTGCCCTGTCCTCTCTCCCCTGGCCGACCAACTTAACTAACCCGTTTCTTTTCTTTCTGGCTCTCAGCCTGCCAGGTTTGTCTCTGTGTCTGTGCTCGTTTCTCTCTCCATGCCATCCATCGCCTCCCTCCATCTCACCCATCTCCATCGCAGGCGGCCCTGCTGCGGGCTGGGGGCTGCTCAGCCTTGGCAGACTGGACACGGGCACCCTCGCTGGAGGGAGTTGGGGGGGCCTCCAGGTTAAGTGGTGGGCTCTACCCTCAGGGAAGGAGGGCCAGGAGCTCCCCTGGCATCTCTTTTGGAAGCACAGAGCTGATCCAGGAAAGAAAAACGCCCTTGCTGGCAAGGATACGGGACAAGACTCCCAAAGACGCCGGGATGCTGAGCTGAGGTGGATGGGGTCGAGCAGGGCAGCAGCAGCAGTTGCTCCCAAAGCCCTCACCCGCACAAACCCAAACCCTTACCCCGGCTGAGGCAGCGTGAGGACCTGTTAGCTGGGCAAAGCGGAGCAGGCAGGAAGGCAGGAGATGGAGAGCAGCGGGGCGAGGTTGTCTCCTCCTGTAGCTGTCGAGTGTTTTCCCCCTTTAGCCTTTGGGGAGAGGCAGGAGAGCGAGAGCAGCGGAGGGTGCAGCAGTTGGCTAGTGCAGACCTGTCTGCCGGGGGTCCTCAGGGGGGGACACAGGCACAGCCTGTGACCCCCAGCTTTTTGGGGTTCCCAGGAGCTGTGAAGATCAAAACCCCCCTCAACCGGGAACTAGTGGCCACCTACGAGGTCACCGTCTCCGTCCACGACAATGCCAGCGAAGTCATCGACCGCTCGGTCAGCGTGCCCAACGGTAAGCGCGGGCTGAGGCCAGGCAGCATGGGGCCGGCAGCTGCCGGAGGCTGGCACAGCCTTTCCCAGGCACCAGCGTAGCTTCTGGGTAGTCAGCAGCTCTCTCACCTTCCCTCTCCATCCTGACCAGCAACATTTCCAGCAGTCCTGGACCAGCTCCCAGCAGGTTTGGGTCCTTCTTTGAGCCCTCCTTTAGCAAATGGCTCAGACATCCTGGGACCGAATTTGGGATGGCGAGGACTGTGTACCCATAACCACACCATGGGACACCCCTGTTTCTTCATTACCATTCCCATGATGTCTTGCCCCCCTGCTCCTGGTAAATCCAGGCCTGCGTGTGAGAAGGCAGATCAGGAGTAGGTCTGAAGTAGGTGAGACTGTCGCACAGCCAGGTCAGGGCATAGCGGCTTTCCTGAATATTGCCAGTTTTTTGATGAAGCGGCTCAGTTTAGTTGGCTTTCCTGGAGTTTCACGCTTGTCTCTTTTTGAACCTCCTTTTCTCCCATCCTTCCTGCCCTTCTCTTTCTCACTTGTCTCTTCCTCTTCTCTTCCCCTGTGGTCTCCACCATTGCCACAGCCAAGCTGACAGTCAACGTCTTGGATGTCAACGACAACACGCCCCGCTTCCGCCCCTTCGGGGTCACCTATTTCACCGAGAGGATCCTAGAAGGAGCCACGCAGGGCACCACACTCATCTCCATCTCAGCAGTGGACCCAGACAAAGGTGCCAACGGGCAGATCACCTATGAGCTGCGCAACCTCTCCCCAAAAAAAAGACCAGTCGGCAGGTCAGTGACCTGGGGAGGTGGGAGTCCTGGGGCAGGTTGGTGGCCTGGGCAGGTTTCTCATTTCAGGGTCTGCCATCCTCTAGGGAAGGTCGTGGCCAACAGGACGGTGGACTATGAGGAGGTGCAGTGGCTGAACTTCACTGTTCGAGCTTCCGACAACGGCTCTCCCCGCAGATCTGCCGAGATCCCTGTGTACCTCCAGATAGTGGACATCAATGACAATAATCCTGTTTTCAGCCAACCGTCCTACCAGGTGAGCTGGGCTCCCCTGTCCAAGTCTGTGTGGGGCTGGGCAGTGCCTGCCTGGTGAGGGTGGGCACAGAGCTGGGGATTCTCCAGGGACACCGTCTCTTCCTTCTCTCTGTGCATATGAAGAAGATGGTCAACCCACCAATGTACTCTGTGTGAATATCTTGTTCTGGATCTAGCTGTGCCCACCCCTGGGTGCCACCCTATGCCCTCGGTTACTGCCCACTAAAACAGCAGGTGATGAAACAACTGCTGAAAGGGTCCCGCCTGCTCCCTTTCCTTGCAGAAAGCTGTCTTTGAGGACGTGCCGTTGGGTACAGTCATCCTGAGGGTCAAGGCCACGGATGCAGATGCTGGGCGGTTTGCTCTCATCCAGTACAGCCTGGGGGATGGAGAGGGCAAATTTGGGATAAATCCCAACACGGTAAGGAGGCAACCAAGTCTGGAACAGAGAGGGGAAAGGGAGGGGAGGCTGAGATGGTCCCAACTTGTGCCTTGCTCGCCCATCTCACCTTCTGCCCCTTCTTGGGGCTCTGCCAGACGAGATCCACCTGAGGGTCTCTGTGTGCTGCAGGGGGACATCTACATCCTGTCAGCCCTGGACCGGGAGAAGAAGGATCACTACACACTGACAGCTGTGGCCAGGGACAACCCTGGGGACATCTCCAGTAACCGTCGGGAGAACTCCGTGCAGGTAGGGCTCCCCTCCTCCCACCACACCTCATGTGGTGGTCACCAGCCCTGCCTGCAAGAAGGTGTTAAACCTCAGGCTTTCCTCCCCAGCGGGCTCACTGGTGGCTCCGGGGAGGAATCGGGCAGAAGGAAGAGTGGATGACCCCAGGGGCTGCGGGGTGGATGGTGCAGGGGACTTCGTGTTGCGGGGACGGCACGTCAGCAGGAGGGGATGGAACAGGAGGGGCAGGCGAGGGCGATGCTATTGTCTGCAAGTGCTCCGGCACAAATGGGTGCCCCGGCTGCGACAGCCCCCATTGTTGGAGGCAGGAATTCAGCTAGCAGAGCTAAACGAATAGCAGGAAGGTCACCGTACTCCGGCAGCGGAGCCGCAGGTCACGGCAGGGGTATGGCCCCAGGGGCTGCCCGGCCATCGCCAGCCTCGCATCACAGCTGTGCTGTGTCGAAGGTGCTGATCACAGTCCTGGACATCAACGACTTCAGGCCCCAGTTCAGCAAGAGCCAGTTCAGCACCAACGTCTACGAGAATGAGCCGGCGGGGACATCGGTGATCACCATGACCGCCACCGACTTGGACGAAGGGGACAACGGCGTGGTGACCTACAGCATTGAGGGCCCTGGAGCGGGTGGGTGCTGGCGGTGGGGTCTTCTCTCTGGGGAGGAAGGTTACGATGAGGAGCAATTGGAGAAGATATAGGGGCGAAGCCTACACCCTGTGTCCTGCAGCTGCAGTTGGTTGTGCGTGTGGTCCTGGGAGCAATACCGAAAGCATGGAGCCTTTCGGTATCGCTCCGCAGTCCTCGTGGCGTGGCATGTTACGACTTTGCCTGCCTTTGTCCTGCAGCCCAGCCTTGGCTTATCCTCTTGTCTTCCCCACCCCAGCAGGACTTTCTCTGTACACAAGTGTGTCTTGGAGGAAACCCAATGCACGCTTTAAAGGAAAGCTAAGAAGGGCTAGGAGGCTGTTCATGGATAGTGATAGCGCCTGAAACCCAGTATATCTCTGCTTACCAAAGACTAAAGGGAACCGAGCAAAAGCCAACAGAAATGTAGAGGAAAATGGCAGAAAGTTCATTTTCCTGAGACCTGTGGGCTTCTCTGACCACTGCCCTGTCCCGGCCGATGTAGCTGGCCTGGGCAGGAGTGGAACGCAGCCAGGGCTGGCCTGGGAGCAGGGCCTTTGTCATTGCTCGGTGACAGGGAGTCGGCAGCAGCCGGGGATGCTCTGACATGGCCCTCTCAGAGCATCCGCACCCCTAGGCTCGTGCAGCTGGCTCTGCTCCATCACCCCATCACAGGGGTTTCCCACCAGTGAGGGATGTCCTTCAGCTGGTATACTGGTTCCTAATCATAATTTATCTATCTGGTGCCAAGTGTCCTGAGCAAGAGACATGTTTTTTTTCTGCCCCCAGAGGCTTTCAAGATCAATAAAGACTCCGGGCTCATCACATCCCGGCGGCGCTTGCAGTCCTATGAGAGGTTCAACCTGACCGTAGTGGCCACAGACAAGGGGCGTCCCCCTCTCTGGGGGACCACCATGCTCCACGTGGAGGTCATAGACATCAATGACAACCGCCCAGTCTTTGTCCGCCCGCCCAACGGCACCATCCTGCACATCAAGGAGGTAAACCTCTTGAGAGGGAGCGGGGTCATGGGCATGCCGAGACCGTGCCTTGGATTGCTTCTGCCTACCGGTGCCAAAATCCAATCTCCATCTCCACTGGGGATGAAACAAGACCTTGATTTAACACCTGGCAAGAAGGTTTGGGCCATGGGGCCGGACAGTCAACAACAGCCCCTCTCCATACGTGCGAGTGGGGATGGCGGGGCAGCTTTGGGGAACAGAAACCCTGGCAGCACGCAAAATAAGGAAACGGCCAGTCACTGCATGCCGAGCCTCTTTTTATAAAAGGGCTAAAACGCTGACATTTGAGATGTTTCTCCTTTCTGGGAAGCCAGGCTTGGCTCAGCCAGTCCCCAGCGTGCATGTGAAACAACCACCCTGCCAAAGGGAATTACGGCTCTGTGTTGCCAGCTCCCGGTCGGGTTTTCGGTAGCAGGAGCCTGCTGACTCCCATACAAGGGAGTTTGAGGGGCCAGGGGCAGCAGGAGGCTCACATGCAATGCTGGGGCTGAGGGGCTGCACGTGTGCAAGCAGGAGATCCCCCTGCGGTCCAACGTCTACGAGGTCTACGCCACGGACAAAGACGAGGGCCTCAATGGAGCGGTGCTCTACCACCTGCTGAAAACCGGAGCAGGGAACAAAGACTGGGAGTATTTCAGCATCGATTCGGTCAGCGGGCTAATCCAGACAGCCATGCGGCTGGACCGGGAGAAGCAGGCGGTGTACAACGTGAGCCAGGCGGCAGCGCGCCCGTGGGGTGGCCGGGACGGTCCCTGGGGCTGCGGGATGCTAGTGATGTGGTGGGGTTGGGGTCGGGATGGGGTCAGCTGCCGCAGCTGTGGAGATGTCACACCTTAGCAGGAACTGGGTGGTTATCAAGTGCCGTTGGGGAATTGCATCCTGGTGGGCCAACTCCCAGTTCCCTCTTAAATCCCCTTAAAGTCATCCACCACCCAGCCATCCCCTCTGTCCCTGCCTCAGCGATGTCTCCTGGCCCACGTGGCTTTGCCCAGGACGGTGCTTTTCCCCCTCTTCCCAGCTGATCATCGTGGCCTGCGACCAGGGCCAGCCAGCCTACGAGACCATGCAGCCCCTCCAGGTCGCACTCGATGACATCGATGACAATGAGCCCGTCTTCCTCAGGCCACCCGTAAGGCACAGGGGATGCAGGGCTGGGGATGCTGGTGAGCACCGTGTGATGGAGCATGCACCAGTGGGCATCACTGTGGTGGGGAGCACGATGGGATTTGTCTACTTTTAGCCTGTCAAAGCAAGGAAAAAAAAAAAAAATCCACTCCCGATGCTCATAACCCTCCTTTCTCCCGGGATCTCTGTCAGAGGGACAGTCCCCAGTACCAGGCACTCTCCGTCCCTGAGCACTCGCGCCCGGGCACCGTGGTGGGGAATGTCACCGGGGCGGTGGATGCAGATGAGGGCTCCAACGCCATTGTCTACTACTTCATAGCAGGTAAGTGCCGAGCGGGGAGGGTATGGGCAGCTCCGCATCTCCTCCGCGCATCCCTCGCCAAAGGTTTGCCTCGCTGCCATCAGCGCCTCATTGCCTTTTTGCGCTGGTCAACGGCCAAGGTGGCGTTTCAGAAATGCCGAGGCCAAAGGGGTCTAACCGGGCTCCCTTTCTGCACCCAGCTGGAAACAGGGAGAGCAACTTCCAGCTGAGCCGAGAGGGCAAGCTGCAGGTCTTGCGAGACCTGGATCGGGAGAAGGAGCCATACTACTCCATCATCGTCAAAGCATCCAGCCAGAGGAACTGGTCTCCTCCCCGGGGCCAGCGGACGGGCAGAGCCCAGCCTTGGGACCTCAGCAGGGACCTGACCCTTCAGGAGGTGCGAATCTTCCTGGACGACATCAATGACCAGTCCCCACAGTTCACCAAGTCGGAGTACACGGCCGGTAAGGGGTGCCGAGGGCTGGAGGGGCACCAGGAGCCGGAGGTGCTCTGGGGAAAATCCAGCCGGACGAAGGGGCAGTGAGAGCCAGCCCAGCCCCAGGTCCCTGTCCTATCTCTCTCTCAAAGGGGTTGCCACTGACGCCAAGGTAGGATCTGAGCTGATCAGAGTGGTCGCAGTGGATGCTGACGTGGGCAATAATAGCCTGGTCCTGTACAACATCATGGGCATCCACTACATCAAGCAGCACTCCAACGAGTCCGAGGAGGTGGCCAGCATCTTCAGCATCGGTGCGTACCCTGCATGCCTCAGGAGCACAGGCCCATGGCTAGAGATGTCCCTGGGGCCAAAGACATCCCCATGACCAGGGCCACTAATGCTGGGATTGTGACCGTCCTTCCCCCAGGAATCCTTGATGGGATCCTGCGAACCTTTGACCTCTTCACGGCCTACAACCCTGGCTACTTTGTGGTGGACATCATGGCCTCTGACCTGGTGGGCCACAACGACACAGCCATCGTGGGGATTTACATACTGCGGGATGACCAGCGGGTCAAAATCATTATCAACGAGATCCCTGACAAGGTCAGGCAGTTCGAGGAGGAGTTCATCAGCCTGCTCTCCAACATCACGGGCGCCATCGTCAACACAGATGATGTGCAGGTAACCATTCACCTTTGAGGTTGCTTTGAAGAGTAACCTTCCACGTGCTGCTTGGGAGGTCTCCTTTGAGTGTCCTGCCTGTATAAACCATAGGCACCCCTGAGCTCTGAAGGTGATGCATACGCCCCGGGCTGGGGTGTATCGAAGGCGTCCAGACCAACTCCATGCCAGCCCTGAGGGTCTTGCCATGCGAGCACACCTTGGGGCATGCTCAGGAGATGCCCTGAGCAGAGACACCTCTCCCACACTGCAGACCTTGCTGTCTCTCCCCAGTTCCATGTTGACAAGAAAGGTCGGGTGAACTTCGCACAGACAGAGCTGCTGATCCACGTGGTGAACAGGGAGACCAACCGCATCCTGGATGTAGAGCGGTACGTCACCTGGCCCGTCACCCAGCTCTTCGCCTGACCCGTTGAGTCCTCAGGGAGCCTCAGTAATGTCAAGATGCCCAAGCAACCCTTCTCTTCCCAGGGTGATTCAGATGATAGACGAGAACAAGGAGCAGCTGAGGAACCTCTTCAGGAACTACAACGTGCTGGACGTGCAGCCCGCCATCACTGCCCGGGCCCCGGACGACCTCTCAGCTCTGCAGGTAATGGCCCAACTGGGGCTGGAGATGGCTGCTGCTCGCAGGTGGGGCGACGTCCCTTCCCATCCTCTATGGCCCTCCGTGGCCTGGAGAGATGTTTCACCCAAATAAGTGTGGGTAGGTGCTCACCGCTAGGTGCTGGCTCTGTGCCGGAGGTTGCCACTACCCCTCTGTCTCTTCCAGATGGCAATCATCGTGCTGGCCGTCCTGCTCTTCCTGGCTGCCATGCTTTTCATCCTCATGAACTGGTACTATCGGACAGTGTGAGTAACGTTCGGGCTCTGCCCCGCCGGCCGCAATGTCCCCACGGGCCAGGGGCACCCTGCGTGGCAGTGCCAGCAAGCAAAGGAGGGCGTCAGCCTCCCAACACCCACTGCGGGGAGGCTCAGCCCGGGTTCAGAAATTGCCCCCCTTCCCCCAAAATATAACTGTTTTAGTACTGGTACCGGCTTTCCCCGCCAAGCTGGCTGTCCTTGTGGATACCGGGGCTGTTTGCAGGGCTACTGCAAATCTGTCTCCCCCTCTCCTTTCGAGCATCTTCCTTACTTTCTTCCCCGATTCGCTGCGTTTCTTTTGCAGGCACAAAAGGAAACTGAAAGCCATAGTGGCTGGCTCCACCGGTGAGCAGTGCTTGGGGTTCTCCAGCTGCCTGAGGCAGCAGGGTGCATGAACAGCAGGGAGGGGGTACATGGGGAGACGCGGGGGATGTCAGCGGCGTGTAAATCGGAAGCGACCCTGCCGAGCGAGGCGTGACGGTGGGAGGCTTTTCTCAGCATCCAGGCTCCGTGTTATCAGCCGCAGCCCAGCGTGTTTCTCACACCACTGGTGCTTTTTCGGTCGCCAAGTTTCCCTCCCCAGTAAAGAAGTGCCACGCCGTGCCCCATGGCCAGGCTGGTTTGCTGCTCAGCCCGCCGACGTGCTTCCCTGCAACCCACGCCGCTGCCTTTTGCAGGGAACAGAGGCTTCATGGACATCATGGACATGCCGAACACCAACAAGTACTCCTTCGACGGGTGAGTTCTCCCCTGCTCTCCGCTCCCTGGTTTGCCACCTCGTGCGGCGCGGCGTGGCGCGTTGCGGGATCACAGGCTGCTCCCGAGAGCAGGACGCCTGCGTTTTGCAGCCGGGGTGCACGGGAGCTGGAGTCGCGGTACCGCTCCGCCCTGCGGAGGGATGCAGCCGGGCATGCTGTGCAGGGCGTGACTCTGGCCCTGGCGTGCGTGGTTGCCTTGAGGGTTTTCAAAGCCAAAAGACCTTGTGCTTTCTCCTGTGACTCCATCTCTGCCAGTACCGGCCAGGCTTGGGGTAAGCAGAGGTGACGAGCGGGTGTCGACACGTGCCTGGATCCAGACCATGACTGCTAAGGGCAGGAGGAGGCAGCGCAGCCTCAGCATCCGGGCTCTGGATGGGGTTAGGGATGCTGCCGGCTTTTCAGCCGCCCTTTGCATGCGCTGAGGGCTGCTCCTCTCCCCCGTGCAGGGCCAACCCCGTGTGGCTGGACCCCTTCTGCAGGAACATGGAGTTGGCGGCGCAGGCAGAGCACGAGGACGACCTGCCGGAGAACCTGAGTGAGATCACCGACCTCTGGAACAGCCCTGCCCGCACCCACGTGAGCCACGGCCCCTGCCAGGATGCCTCGTCCCCGCGCCCAACACCGCGCCGCCTCCTCAGCCGCTCTCTCCTCCCGCAGGGGACATTCGGGAGAGAGCCCTCCGCCGCCAAGCCCGAGGACGACCGCTACCTGCGGGCAGCCATCCAGGAGTACGACAACATTGCCAAGCTGGGGCAGATCATGCGGGAGGGACCCATCAAGGTGAGCGATGAGTGCGGGGCATCCTCCACCGAGGGGATCTAGCTCCTACCGCTTCGGCTTCCAGGTTCGTGGCTGCCGGCGCCAGAAGGTGATGTTGCTCCAAAAAATGCTGGGATGAGGCCGGCCTCCTTCCAAGCAAACCATCTCCCTTGGTTAACCCTTCCTCTCTCCCCCTCCGCCCAGGGCTCTCTCTTGAAGGTGGTCCTGGATGATTACATGCGCTTGAAAAAACTCTTTGCCCAGCGGATGGTGCATAAGGCCACCGCCAGTCAGGGGGACCGCTCCTCGGTCTCGGAGGTAGATGGGGTGGTGCATGGGCATGGGGAGATGCTTGCCGTGCCCTCTGGGATGCAGTGTGTCTTCTCGGCCCCCACAGGCTGTGGTCGCTCCCCGCGGCCATGGCTCCCGTCATCCAGTGGTCCCCATCTTTCCTGCTTGGCCAAAATGAGCCAGACACTGGTTTTCCACTGAGGCTGCCAGTTCCCCGCAGTGCCCCAGCTCTCATGACCCACTGCGTTTCCTCTGAGCTTCGGCAGCACCCTCTCCCTTGGTCTCTTCCACCCTGGGAGGACACCCCTCTTTGTGGGGTGTGCTCTTGTCCATCACCTCCCCATCTCCCCACAAAGGTGCAGCCGCTCTGGCCAAGAAGCGGTGGGTCCCTGCACAGACGTGGCTGCCAGTTCCCCGCAGTGCCCCAGCTCTCATGACCCACTGCGTTTCCTCTGAGCTTCGGCAGCACCCTCTCCCTTGGTCTCTTCCACCCTGGGAGGACACCCCTCTTTGTGGGGTGTGCTCTTGTCCATCACCTCCCCATCTCCCCACAAAGGTGCAGCCGCTCTGGCCAAGAAGCGGTGGGTCCCTGCACAGACGTGGGGACGTCTCCCCTCCACCCCTCCGAGTTTATCAGGCCAGCAGGTTTTTGAGGCAAAAAGGCTGGGACGGAAGGTTTTGGTGCAGGAAGGCTGGCGTGGGGCGAAGCAGGTCCTCCCACAGCCTTCCCCCTCTTCATGGGGGGCAAAACATAGGGCAAAGAGAGTGGAGGAGAGAGTGGGACAGGAGACACCGCTCAGCCCTTCTGCCCCCCTGTCCCTCCTCACCCTTAACCCCCTGCAGCCCCATCCAGCCTTCCCTCGACTCCTTTCTTTGCCTGCCTCCTCCCTCACCACCCTCATACAACCCCAAATCCCAACCCGGGTCCCAACCCCTCCTTGGCCGCCGTGGGGGCTGCTGCCGGACGCACCGCCCAGCTGGCAGCCAGTGCCTGAGCCGGGGTGCCCACCCGACGAGCGAGCGATCTGGCTGGAGATCATCATCGTGCTGGTGGTCCTCATCACCACGCTCTTCAGAAGAGGAGGGTCTCGTCCCTCCCGCCGGGCTCTGATGTTGCAGAAGGTTCAGAGGCAGGGAAACCAGGAACTGCTCTGGCCACCGTGGCGATTCCCAACCCCTCTTGTGGACCTTTTGCAGCTGATCCAGAAGGAGCTGGAGGAGGAGGAGGAGGAGGAGCGCAGCCCCGGCCAGGGCAGCCTCCGCTTCCGACACAAGCAGCCGGTGGAGCTGAAAGGTCCCGA